GAATTCGGTAGCTTTCGACATGGTATGGCTCAACCTCCACCTTTTCTACGAAAAACCACGTTAAATCACCTGCGTGCCAAATTTTGTGTTTTCATCACAAAATGCACAATTGGGCTCATATTGACGCTCTGCCGCGCCCTACTACTATTATAGAAGAGTGTTTGCGCACGCGACACCGATTATTCTCTTTACTCATCTTCGCATCACTATTGCCCCCCGGCCCGTGCTGTATTAATTGGAGGTAATTGGGTAATGGTGGGAGCACGCGTGTTCTGAAGAGGCTGAGCAAAGGAACGAACGGACGTGTTAATATAGATGACGTTGCGGTGGCAAACGAGAGAAGATGGCTGAGTAAACATAAAGTTGTTTGCGCGCGCGACTGATAGCACTATTAACCGGTCTTCTTTTTCCGCTATCAACGGATTCGCCCCCGTTTGATAGATTCATTTTGCTTCTATTAGAGGGGTAGGATAGAAAGGGTGTGCGTTTGGAGGGTATACGAAACGAGAGAGAGAGAGAGAGAGAGAGAGAGAGAGAGAAGAAAGAGAGAGAGAAGGGGGGAGGGGCGCTGGTGTCGCATATAGGCAAAAATATATACATACAGTATAAAGACTAAAATATGTAAATCTATATTCCGACGATGGGGTATTGATCAGAAAATATTAGAAGAAAAACTGTAGGCATGCCTTTTAACTCCGTAAAGATGACATAAAAGGCGAGGAGCGAAAAAAAGAAGTAGAATAGGTTTCTTGCTTTCCGCCCGATGCGTGCCTCCCCCCCCCCCCCCCCCCCGTCTGTAATCGCCCAACCATCACTACCAAACGGTCCATGCTATGTCACTCACTGAGAGAATGGGAAATCTCCCTTATTATGGATGATGGAGGAGGCCCCTTAAAACTTCAAACACCAAACTCTCCTTATCATCTCTCTTCACAAAATGAACGAGCTTTCCAAAAGATATATTTCTTACCACCAAACTTGCCCTGCTAGCTGAAACTCCTGGTGAAACTTTGTGCTGCTCATGCGGTGCGTTGGCATTTTAGTGATCAATATGACAAAGTACACGTAAAATTCTGACATAAAAAAACCCGCGTAATATAGTCACCCTCTCACCAACGTTCAACTGGGGTTTGTCTTACCAAAAGAACTTATTATGCCCTTTGGGCGAAACACAAGTCAGTATCCAAATCATATTAACAATCAATAAATAATATTAACTGTGTTTGGGGACAACTCGTCAGTCCAGCTCCGGTTTCTTGTACAATATTGATTCTTCAGTTAATAACGATTTTGGTAAACCCCACAGCTACATCTTATATTAAATGAGAAATTTGTTATTACGATAAACATGTGTGATTTGGATTTAATAAGACGGTGTAGGCAAAATTTCATGGGTTCCTTTCATATACCAAGTCGATTTTCTTGGGGGTATTATCTTTCACATCATGGCTCAATTTACATCATTTTCCTCTGCAATGCGTCTTTGTAAGGTTTAGCGGTCATTCAGATTTGTTTAGGTGGGGGGGGGGGGGGAAGCTTAAAATGCTTATGAACTAACTCACAGAACATAAAAAAGGAAAACGTAGAAAACAAAACACAAACAAACTTTGCTTTATCGGACTAATAATTATGTCTAGCAAAAAAAAAATTGATTGCATAACTTACAGGGAGCATCAACCTCCACACAACTAAATTCTTTGACACTTTCGATACTCTCAATCTCCAATTTACCTTTATCGTGAGCAGAGCTGCAGATTCACATAGAGAAAAGAACAAGTCTGCATCATCAAAGGTTTGTTTTAAACTTTCGCGTTTTTTCAAACATCATACCGCCCATTTTCTGACAATTTTGTCGTAGTTTCATCTTTAACTATTAGAAATTCTTGTTTTAAAAAACAATCACGTTCATTCCATGGATGCATGCCATGGCCATGAGCGGTTATTGTTGTTTCGCACACCAATACAAACTGTTTTCTTGACAGATTTGTTTCTTCGAAAGGCATTAGTACCTCTCTTCGACTCTTCGCGCTATTGATATTGATAAACAAAGCTGCCACCCAAACCATATTTTCTGTCATCGTTAATAATTATGGCTAATTGAATTTTGAATGTCAACTTACTGTCATCAACCATAAGGCCTGTGTCAAATACTGTATCAAATCATAATCAAAACGGACAGCTAGCGACAGTGTCCTGCCAACGTTTTTGAGAGAAGTAGTTTTTTCAAGAGTTCGCTTGATTGATCGTCGAACCGTCATTAAATTACCGGGGTAAGAGATAATGCATATTTATCGAGATGTATGTTCGGCGGAGAAAAAACCTCAATTCTAGTTATTCTAATTGTCTTAAGTCCATGCTTGGGTGACTTGAGATTGACTAAACGAATTTGAAGAAATCTTCTCAAGGCAGAAATTCGAAGGTTATGTCTACATAGCGCCGCCACCTGTTTCAATATTTTCAAGCTTTTTTTTTTCTTTCTCCCTTCAACGTAAAATGAAGGAAGAGATCTTCCGTGCCTAGTGCTGCGCTATTGATCGGCTGTCCAAAGCGTAAACTTGTGTATTCATTTTTCGTTGACATTTGCTTGAGTCGCGCTGATGTTGGGCCAAGCGACTAACCGCCTCATTCTAAACCGCTTTAGTCAATCAAACTCAGGCAGTCGGTGTTGGAGCAAACCATTAGGGTCTGTTAGCTCAGGAGTATCGTGCCACAAACAAGGGACTCTAAAAACTTTTGGCTACGCCAAGACTGGCAGGCGAGGCAGCTAGGCAGGAAAGAAGATAAGCTCAAGTTAGACACTCCGTTATTCTATTCCTCTTAAGATGTTATTCCCCTTGTTTTATCGGTAATGCAAACATTTCAAAGAATAAAATTGATTCAGGGCTCTAATTCATGGTTTCGTTAAGTGGATGGAAAAAAGGGTAAGTAAAAAGATGAATAAAGCTATGATGAATAAAGAGAAACCCATTACAAATCCAATTCATCAGTGCAAGGTAGGTTGTATCTACAGATAAAGTTACTACCCTTGAAGCAGACATTAATATCTTCTTTTTCTGTTCCCAAACTCTTCGACTGCATAATATTCACATCATCATTTGCAATCAGATCATTTTTACCATCACCAAAACCACCTCTACCCTCTTTACCGTCACCCTCCTCATGCATTATCCTCAATACGATCATATCTCATCAATGTTGTCATCATCTCGTTCACTTTTTCTCACTTCAATTTTCTTGATTTCTCTAGGCTCTCACTCTCTTATTTCTCTTCTACACAGTTGAAGACACAACTACACGAAAAAAGGGAAAAAATAAACAGAGTTGCTTTCCGACTGACGATTTCACATTTATAAAGTATAGTAAATCCACCAAAATAATATTTATATTTCACTTTCACACAATACCGTGTTCCACTTTACATATCCTACTCAGCTTCAATTCAAACATAACTTTTGGTATAAACATGGAAAAGGCAATTGTGGTTTAATTTGGACTTGTTTGGTGCATAATAATATAATGTGATATTGATATACAAAATCATATATATTTGCAATAATCTTAATAGGCACAATCACATTATTTAAAGGAACAAACTATGCTTTATGAAATATTTCCAATAACTTTTCAAATTCACACCTAATGAAAGAAAAGGATAAGTTATATATCACGTCTTGAAACATATAAGGTGATGATATATACATATAAATATTGAAGTCGGCACCCATTATAAATCCTTACAAATGATATTCAAACTTTCAACTAGGGTACAATACAGGAATTACTTTTTTTGAAAGTTAATGTGGCAACTTTTACTTATCTTAGCAAAGACTACTTCGTACAAACAGTTAAAAAGTTGATAACAAGTCTGAAATATTTTTATCTTGAAAAAAGATTGAAGCTGGAGTGTCTCTTCTGTGACGTTAAAAAGACTTGAGAAGAACACTTGTCTTCTTCAATTGCGTCAAGCACTTAGAATATGACCCCAAATAAAAAAATCACAAGCAATAACTACAATTACAAAAACACCAACTAGGGCTGATAATTACTCCCCTAAACAGCCAAGAAACGTTGCCACGATGATGACACATCATGCCACAAGGCAAATCACTCAACGAATATATGAAAAGTGCAGTGCATACACGATCAATTGATTTCAATTTATTTTGGGGGTCTCTCCAGTGACAACTTCCATCTAACTCTCTACCGATGTGCCATTACATTACCCAATGATATTGATCCCCATAACACTGACTTAATGGAATAAAGAGAGGCACCTTAAAACAGGGGTAAAATACTTCTCCCTTTCTGATAAAACATGAAAATAACAAAATGCCCAGCGGCATCGGGAGGCACTTGTTGGAGAATGAAAGAATGAATTAGTGGTGTGAATGTTTGGGTTGTTGTTGGATGGAATGACATTACAATGTTTAGTTGATGTGACAATGTTGATGCTTTGGGACAGGTTTACTGATAGTTCACTACAAATACTAAGAAGAGATTATGAATTTGTTTGAAGCTCTGAGGCAAGGAAACATATCAGCCGGGCAAATGTTTGAAAGAATGTACAATGAACTTGCCCTGAGACGGTCAGCAAAGCCCTGGCTGAAAATTTGCCAAAGAGGCTGTTCTCTGGCTAATAACTAATATAAAATAAGATTTGCCATAAGATTTGTGAATCTTAAGACTATAGAATAAGATTTGTGCAATTCATAAATTTCACACCTAGGTATCTCGAGCAAGAATAAGGATAGCATTTACATAATACCTGAAATTATGTTGTTAGGTCTTGCAAAAGGCATGATCAGGTTCATAAAGACTCAATCTACCTGTAAGCAAGTCAAAACCAGCCCAATCTCTAGAGCTATGACAAAGGCTAGGAAAGATAGTTAAAAAGAAGTGAAACCAATTTGAAAGAGAATTTCCACATGTGGAAGAGTAAGGAACATGATGATTATCATGAGGGTGAACTTAGGCACATTGATCTTTATAATCTGGACGTACACATTGTCTGTCCGCAGCAGAAGGGTGTTGCCTATGTGTTAAGGTATATGAGCTAACTCCCTTCTGGCGCTCAACAGATGCCATATAAGTGCTGTATCCACAGGTGCACCACAATCAGTAACATCACATGTTTACAACATACTTGTATTATATCTCACTCTTTTAAAACATATGGTGCTATTTCACGCAAAAGAATTTAGTAGAGTAGTTTTGCCAACAGTCAGCTCTAATTCATCTTGATTGAGCTGTGATGTATGCAATTATAGTTTATATCAACTTCTTGATTTATGAAGGACATGTAATAGCAATTGACATTGCCAGTTTCTTTATGAAACTTTAAATAAACAGTTAAATGCATATGTACATATTTATGTAATACATTTTGTTTCTTATGCATTTCATAATATTTGTATTTCATTATAGCAGCTTGGTGCACCCCCTTTAATTTCTGCATTGAATATTTTGTAAACCTACACAAATATTTGTTGCTTCCTGAAAAAATACTATCAATACCCTTTGCTCTCTCTTATGAAAGTTCTCACACACATTAACGGAATGCTCTTGGCAAATACAATCAATTTTATTCATAAGGTTTACTTTGTGCCTCAAATAAAAGGGATATCTGTATATTCTGATGAACCACTATCAAAACTACTTAAAATCATTGATCAATAGTTTCCGTTACTTAGCGTACTAATGAAATAAGCCTGGGGGTCATAACTCGGTGTGTGCTGATGATGAACCCTCACAAAGTTCTGAGGAGAAAGAGAAATACATTAAAATACAAGTGAGAATAAGAATACTATCCATTCACATGGCAAAATTTGTAAATATTTTCTATTCTTAGACATAAAAAAGCTATATTCAAAATTCAGTCATTACTATGCCAACCTTAGCTTATAAGTCTTGTAAAGCTGTGATTCCTGATTTGAAATGGATCAAAGGAGCTCGCAAGATACATCAAAGTGTTGCCAATTCGTGTTTGGTCGCAATTTTGAAAATTCATCAGAATTTACTCAACGTCAACTGACCTGTTTCTCTAATTTTTCTGCTTATATTAAAACCAACTTAATATCACAATGGACTTGACCTTTAAGGTCATCATCATCCTAATTGGTCCATCTTCTAAATAAACATTTTAAAATTTAACAGCTAACTACACTCCTTTTGATGAGATGGGAAAACAATTTGATATTACTACTCAGTAGAGACAGACAGTTACCATTTGAAAGACAATAACAAGTTAAGAAATCTTTGTCAACTTATATAAAGTAAAAGGGCAGGGTTTAAAGAATGCACCCAGTTTGTGGTTTTGATATTTACTTTTGCACATTTTACTGAGTGTTACCTAAAAAGCCACAAATAAACACCTAATTTCTTGCTATTCTACACCAGTTAATGTTCTGGTTTTGGGACAAACAGCCCAATGTCTCATTTTAGAATATATATTTTCGCCATGGTTCCTTCTTTATTTTCTAAATCTAAAACTCTCATTCATTGTTCATATCAAAAGTTATGCAATAAAAACAGAGATAAATTATTCCTACGTTGCAAGCTCTTCTGAGAAAGCAATGAATACATCCATAACATCACATACATATTCTACAGATCTTCACAAGTTGACATCACTTGTTAAACAATAAACGATGCGTGGGATAACATCTTTATCTCTTCCCATCGACTTTATCTGAAAAGCATGCAACTAATCCTTAATAAACACCAATTACCGTTCCTCAATATGAAATGGAACCTTAAATGTCACTTTCAACCCGATTCGTCAGACTAACGCAATGATCTTGGCACACGCTTTACTTACTTGTAAGACTGGAGCACAGGCTGGTTTCAATGTCCGTTGACTTTTCCCTGTACAATCTCAGCACATCATCTTCGTAATCTTCAATAATATTTTCGCACTGGGAGGAAAGGGAGAGAGAAAACATTTAAAAAACAGTTCCTTACTCAACAATGGTGATGATTTTAAAGAACAACTCCACCTGGATTCATATTGAAAACAACAAAGATGGAAAAAAGAATGAAGTTATTGAGGGACTAGCCTGCAAATGAAAGCAACTGAGAGAAATGGAAAGTGACAGGTGGGAGGAACCACTCTACTCCCGGGGGAGGAAGAACAAGGGGGAAGGGGAGGGTCACAGGAGTGGTACATATTAGCACCAAGTCCTTGAGTATGAACTCACAACAGGAACAAACCCGTCAAGGGCATACGCTGAGCTGTAGACATGATATCTTTCACCTCTCTCTAGGACGGCAGGTAGGTGATCCAGGTTAGTCCACAAAGAGTCCATGTTTGCCAATAAATTAGGACAATGACACTCTTAGGGGATAAGTAAATTGCACTTCCTAGAAAAGCACACACAGCATATGGTTTCCATTTCTTACACAACATTAAAGATGACATTGCTGTTTTGCACTTATATATTTGCCCATAAATTTCATTCACATGTCAAAGTATATTAAAAAATACTACATTTAACCTACAAACTTTTTGTGTGATCATATGAGATTGACCCACGACGACTAATTTCCTACCAATGTACTAAAATTAATTTTAAGAATAATTACTATTAATTTCAGACATTTTTTACAGCCCCCCCCCCCACCCATCCATCCTGATCACAGAACGAAACATGAACATGTAACCAGGGAACCTTTTCTGTATTAAAGCATTTTCCCAGGAATCAGGCAACACTGTTTTATGCCTTGGCTAATTGAATTAGCATATTAACCCTGGGTTTTCAAACATAGGACCAACTAATTTCAAAACCCCGCTACGCTCACTGAGCTTTTGCGTTCCCATTTTGAATGAATGGAGGATATTGTCTACTTTGAGCCAGAAGGACGTTAACTCATATTATTCAACACAGAGTTAAAAATATGTTTTGTTAATAAACACACCAGCCTACAACAAATTTGGTAAAACCTTAAATAATTTGTCCCTTTACGCATCTGAAGACAGCTTTATGATGCACAATCTTATCAGTTATAATTTTACTTCAAAAAGCAACATAGTAGCTTTAACATCACATTTTTAAAAGGATATGCAGGGATATATTATAATGCTGACTCTCTATTTATTTCTGATAAATTTGAAGGGGAATGACCACACTAGAAACATTTTGAAACTGTGTGGGTGGTTGATGTCTGCGTTGTTGGATAAAGTAAATTTCCTTTTCGAAATTAAACGCTCGGCATTTGATACGGCAGCATAATGCTCTCCATGTGCCCTGTAGCAGACTACAAAGAAAGACACTTTCTGGGCAATTACTTCTCTCAAAATGATCAATTTCCTTTTGTGATAAGATGAGTTTGTTCGAGAAACGTCAACCAGCCCTTTTCCTCTCCTGTGCTTTTCACAGTGTGGGAGGTGGGCATTTTCAAAGGAACTGCAGATTCAGGTTTCAAATTTTGGACAGATGTTTTAGAACATGATCGACACTAAATGAGAAGGTCATGATTTTATAATAACTGTGTAGAAGAGTTTCTTTCAAGTTCACACCAATGAATATAAAAAAATAGATATAATAAACATTAGAGTCCTGTTAAATTAATTGTTTGTCTCATTCTAGTACACTTCTCTTTTGGACAACTACCCCACCCCTTTAAAGTATCCCAAGAACACAAACCCAAAACAACAATCCCTCCCCCTTAAGGGAATTAACCCCCCCCCCTGCCACTATCGAAAACTACCCTTTAGGACAATTGCCTCGTAGGAAAAGTCCCCCTGGCCCCCTGGCCAACTAAGAGCGACAGACCTGAATGAGTAATTGTCTTTGGGGATAACTGTCTAGGTGTATGTTGTCCAGGAGAGGGATGGGGAGTGTTATTACCCAATGAAGGGGAGGGGAGGGGGGGGGGGTACTTGTCCTGGGGTAATTCTTTTACAGGTAGTTGTCCAGGGGTCCGTATTAGGGACTTTTAGATTTGCGTGGACTGATACGTGTGACGTCCATTCATGGCAGTGCATTAACAGGACGTCGATCGTAGCATAGACCTATTGTCTTCGTGCGAATCTAAAAGTCCCTAATGTCAGGACAAGTAGTCCTGGTCCCCATCTTATTTTGACATCAATCCCAATAGGGGACTGCAAACTTGAAATTAGTTAGAGGTCTTGCGATTGATTCAGATCAAACGCAACTCTATATAAGACGGGGATGTGATGTACTTTTCTCCTTTTCAAATAGATGGTAGTAAAAAAATTGTCTTCTCTCCAGCATTTAAGCCTTTTCCTTTTCAGACATTCATTGTTTTGCACTTAAAGCACAAGTAGTTCTATTTGAAAGTAAATATATAGATCTTTATGTTTAAAAAAAAACAAAACATTTTAACCAATCCAGTGTCATGTTCTATGGGGGGGGGGGGGGGCTCTGCACAATACATCAAGGCATAACTAAATGTAACTAACACATATCATTTTACAAAAAAGTTTGATTTTATGAAAAATTGAAAGTGACAAACAGGATGTGCAGGAAGTCATAGCCACTAGAGTACTGACAATTGCAGTAATATAGCATTAATCCAGTAACAGGGAGGACGGGGAGTGAGGGCACACGTTTTACAAGTTGGATAAAATGTGAAGGAGATCATATTTCTACAAGTGGGGGCCAAACATCCTTAAGCTTCCAAAAGGTGATGTTTAGTAGTACATGTATCTCATTAAAAGTAACTTAAATAAGACTGTATTATGCAAGAAATATGTTTTAACATATAACTTTTTCTACACATAGTTCAAAATAAAGCTAATGTACTTTTTTATCATGGGGGATGCAAAACCACTGACAAAATAATGTTAAACAAAAAGAGAAGATAAGGAAAACCTGCCAATAATCAACAAAATAAAAAGCACAACATCACAGAAATGCACATGTGGTACAATATATCTTTAAAGTAGTGAAAAAAAACTAAACATTTTCCTTCATTTTTTTTTTTTTGGGGGGGGGGGGGGGTATTTTTTGAATTTCTCAGCTGTAGGCCTAATAAAGATTGGGGATTATTCTTCATTTAAAAACAAGGTTCATTTCTTTGTAATTTCTAAAAAAAAATCAGTTTAAAGTGATGATTTTGTTTGTATGCACCAGTCAGACACTTTGCTACTACCAGAATTCAAGATTGTCATTGATGTATTGAATAAATTAGGTAGAAAACTTACTGCAACTTTCAGAACTTTCCCTGTGGTGAGGTTGATAGATACATTTATAAGTTCCATGTCTTCTCCATTCCGTGCTTGATACCTCACATAGGTTTTCTCATTGGTCTCTGGGTCTGTCTTTTCTGCGTAGTCGGTCATTTTATCACAGACGGTCTCCATCACCTCAGTCAAGTGCAACTCAGATCCAGCATATGGTATCTACCAAGAGATAATAAGAATTAATTTTTTACATTTTTTGTCCAAAATCTTTTGAATGCATGTAAGTTTTGAATTATGTTTGAAGTATTGACTACTAGTCAGTTGCTCTTTAAAGAAAGGAAGTCTAAAACTGAACAAGTATTGAAAGTGTTGAACTGACTGAAAGCATTAATCACTATTTTTCCTTTAAAAAAAGACCACATAACTTATCTTGTATCTGCAGAGACAATATTTTTCAAAGATCTTCATGAACTTGTTTTGACTGTACAACTCTAAAATGCGTTGTTGGTTGTATTTATGGCGTTCAGTCAAATTTGACTTTATACGCCTAGTCTAGTTCTTTAAGTAGTGTCGAGGTAGTTAAGTCATAATATAATATGCTGTTAAGATTGAAACTTATTAGGGGCATGAATACATCCCAGGTGGATGACTACAGCCTACGTTTTGTGTTAATGTGCACATTTCCTGGTCAATAGAGGCAGACTTGATTACTGTGGAGAAAAATCCATCACTCGGATAGGACGTTAAATGGAGGCCCCTTAGAATGAAGAGTCACCACTAAACCCATGCACATTTAGGAACTTACTGCATTCTAAGGGGAAACAGTGGTATAGAAATATACCTGTACATCCCATATAAGTTGTAACAGAAGAAGAGACCAAAGGAGAACCGTATAGTGATTGTGATCATTTTCCCCTATAAGGCATGGGTGATTGAATTCATAGTGATAAAACAATAAACATAACTCATGAACTGACCTTTTTTTGTTTTTGTTCCCCTTTGGGGTCAATCCTGAAACTCCCAACAGTAATAGTCTGATGAGGGTCTTCCTGAGTTATGGCATACTCAACCTCACTGATCAATGCTTGGCATGCTAGATTTCAAACACAGAATTTCATAGCATGTCAGTGCACAACAAGAAAATAAAAAACAAAAGTAATAAACGAAATACATTCAAATATTGAAAAAATCAATACAATGGGCTGAACAAAATCAAATCTACATGTACATAGTAAAATTTGAAGTATATATTCTTGCTTTAAAACAGCAAACAGTGATTTGGGATGGCTCTAGTGACATCACAAAAGTACAGATAAAAATCATTTTCTTTTTCATCATAGAATATAAACATTTTTTTCGAAGCTGTCACGTGCATAGTACAGGCTTTTCTAGAAGTGAAACACTGCCTCATGGCGTCATGGGGACGGTTTATCAAGAAAAAAGCAAGCTACTTTGAACATCAACAAGCAGCAACAGATAATATTCTCCTTTCAACCTGCTCTATCGAATCACGTTAATGTTATGTTTCATTCCCTTTCTGAAATTTGCCTTGAAGGTAATTGACTTGCTTGCTTACCTCCACAATACACATCCGAATCTATCTCTCTCCCTGCTTGAACATTGGAGTACAATCCCAGTATACACAGGACCAAGATGGAAGCTCTCAGAGGACGAATCCAATACATCTTGTTTTCTTACATCTGAAATAAAATATGTTGAATAGATCTATAGTACTACACATCTGTAAATACCTTTAATTATTAAAATGCCTAATGGTAGTGTGACCATATTTCGCACATGATCATATTTTGATGGGATATACAAACAAATTTATAACATTTTGAAAATCTAATACCATCATCTATGGAAAGAGGAACTAACAATAAAAGGTCTTCCAAAAGATGAAAGTATCTTTGGAATAGAGCGTCAAATATTCCAATTATGAAAATATTGAGAAAAGATCTGCAAATTTTTCTATTTCCTGCGTCTATCGTTATCATGTTCATTTTGAAAGCAGATGTCCAATAGTGATATCTTCATTTTTTCATAGCTTGACTTTCAATAGTCCATTTTCGTAATGTAATTAAAATTGTTACAAATGATTTCATTCACCCGTTACGAATAATTGTATTTTGATACTAATATTAATAATAGTCAGAATATGAATGGCATACAATTTATTCTATGTTGTTAGGTATAAAGACAAGCCATAATGTTGCCCTACCTACCTTTTTGTATGCAATTCGCATTTTGCCTATTGAAATACAATTATTTGGAACAAAACTAACAACAATTACATGGCATGTAACAAAGGTTTATACATAACTTTAATTTTGATTACATTGCGAAAATGGTTTATTGATGGAGGTCTTACTCTCACCTTTGCCTTTAATAGATAGACTATGGCCTATGGGGACTGCATTTATTTTGAATAAATCAACTGTAAATTCTTGTGCTTGAAATATGGAAGCACTAGAAAAAGAAGAACGAGGAGGCAGGGGCGTCGCTAAACCTTTTTCAGTGAGGGGGGGGGGGGGGTGTAGAGGTCACCAAACTAGCCACCAATTACCAACGAATATACTAATGCTAATGTCTCAATTTTTAAGAATTTACCAAATAAACCTGGGGCCAGGAGCTAAATTATTTTTCCCCCCTCCCACGCTTTGACATTTTATTAAATTATTAGAGAAAGAAGATGATTCGTTGTACCGTTCTCTACTTTAAATCCTTGTCTGAATTCAGTTTTCCCCCTCTCGTGCGAAGCATGGAAGCTTTGACATTTCATTAAATTATTAGAGAAAGAAGACGATTCGTTATACTGTTTTTGAGTCTGAATTCAGTTCCCCCCTCCTCCCGCACGAAGCGCGGAAGCTTTGAGGTTTCATTCAATTATTAGAGAAAGAAGATGATTTGTTGTACTGTTCTCTACTTTAAATCCTTGTCTGAATTCAGTTTTTCCCCTCTCATCCGAGGCATGGAAGCTTTGACGTTTCATTAGATTATTAGAGAAAGAAGACAATTCGTTGTACTGTTTTCGACTTGTAATCCTTGTCTGAATTTTCAAAAAATGTTTTTATTTGTCCGATAAAAAGACACAGTTTGTAGGGGAAAAAAAATTGCTGGCCAACCGACATATTACATCTTATCGACTTCAAACTTCTGCATGGGTATAGTACATAAGGATTGAGCAAGAATACCGACACAGCAACATATTACATAATTATCTTTGCATATCTTTCTTCCTCCCTCAACGTGGCTACTCCACCCAATATACCCCTCTCTTTCTTACTCCCACCCCTCTTCTCTCAGGCTCTAACTACCCCCTCCCTCTCTCTCTCCTCTCTTTCATCCCCATTTTTTTTTTCCTTTTTCTCTTCTCCTTTTCCTTTCTTTTCCTTTCATTCCTCTTTTTTCCCTTTATTCTTCTCTTCTTTCCTTTCTTTTCCTTTTCTCCTGACAGCAGCGCAATTTCACCGACAATATCCCAACAGGTGGGGGTGTGGCACCCCCCCCCCCCCCCATGAGGAGGAGGAGGAGGAGGAGGAGGAGGAGGAGGAGGAGGAGGAGGAGGAGGAGGAGGAGGAGCTAGGAGGAGAAGAAGAAGAAGGAGAAGGCGAAAAGAAGAAGTAGAGAGAAGTAGAAGTAGAAGAAGAAGAAGAAAAGGAAAACAAGAAGAAGAAAAAGAAGTAGAAGTAGAAGAAGAAAAAAGAAAAGAAGAAACTTATCTTTGCTTCAAAGTTCAAGTGGGCGGCGCTTGCGACCTTCCCTGGATGCGGTCCCCATACATTCTAAACGGTACACCAAGACTAATCGTTCACGTTACATATATACGCGAAGAACTTTTGCCCGAAAAATGATAACTTGATCCCTTGCTCCGTTACAAACACATAGATGTAAGTGGTAATACATCATATACAATGAAAAAGTGGTGTAATTTTAATGAAAACGTAAAAAACTACCCATTACTTATATAAAAATAACACTGCCTGCAATGAAATATTCTCCACTTACCTACCGAACTGTCGTATTTTCTGTTACCTTCGCTGCTGCTATAACTATCACGTTTTTGTACTATGCTTCCATTCTCATGACACGCAGTGAGTCACGAGAAGAGATATTTACCAGTCTAATCGCACTTTCCACCAATGATGTACGTCCACGCTGATTAGTTTCCTTCTAAACAGCGCAGCACGAAAGATGATGCTTTCATTTGTCCACGTATCATTTCATATATGGCATATTTTTCTATCATTGAAATTAAATTATATATTTTTTGCATACAATACATTTTTACATTCAATCTCCAGAGAAATATAATCGAAGGAAGGATAGAAGGAAAAAGGCCGAGGGGAAGGAAAAGAATTATGATGTTGGCGGATGTTGGATGGTATATCAAAGCAATTAAAATGATACATACCAAAAAATGAAGGAAAGAGCTTAAGACAGAAAAGGATGGAGGGTTTTTCATGTTTAAAACCTGCTGTACAGCGCAGAGTAGCAGAGAGAGAAAGAGAGAGAGAGAGAGAGAGAGTGACAAAAAAAACAACTTTCACTCCACTAGTCTGAAACTCCTAAATCGGAAGACTTTACCATGTCATATTCATTTGTTCACAATCACCAATATATTACTTTATTCTTAATATCTTAAATTTACTGACATTAAACAAATTTATCGCCTCTCTCATAGTACGTACATCACCAATTTTCTTCAATGCTTCCCCTTCTGTCACTTATCCATTCTGTCTCACTGTCTCTGGCAATATCACTTTCTATCTCATGGTATTGATTGGATATAGACAGTGCTCTAAATATGGGGCAGATCCAGATCTTGAAAGGGGAAGGGGGGGGGGGAGGCAATTATCTAAACCCTCTGAAAATCACAAAAGTGAGTATCGCATTTCCAGGTGTCCTTTTGGTCTAGATGTGCAAAGCATACAAGAACACAATTACCCCACCTTCCCCCCTTTTTTTAGTGTTTTTTTTTTAAATGCAGGCCACATTGGGCATGAGCTGGTTGTGCCCTCCTCCAAATTTCTCCACAACTCTATATCTCATTCATCTGAATTGTTTACTTTTGCCACCTATTATTTCCCTTACCTCCCTTGATCTGCTCCCCCATTTTTGTTTTGCCCCCTCTCTACTCTACTCTCCCACAGCCTTTTCCCCCTCTCCTCCTCTCTCAGATACACACATACAACACTCACCCACACATCTTCTTCTATTTCTTTTTCTTTCTTTCATTCTCCCTCCCTCCTTTATCTCTCTCTATCTTCTTTCCATTTTTCTTTCATCATTAAAAAAAACTGCTTCAAAGAAACATGAACACCATCAGAATCTGAACCAATCAACAAACACAGCAATGGTGCAGGCTAGTGCAGCAGACAATGAGTAAGGCAGTCTGAACACAAAGCTCTCTGTCCACACAGTAAAGTGATTGTGTGAAAAATGACTGTCATGAACATTTTTAATTCAATTTGAATATATTTGAAATTTAAATGTCAATTTGATATAAAACATTAATAATGCACATGCCATAATGATACATGATTAGTTGCAACAATATATACCTGCTCATTACAATAACTATCATTCATCCCTCAGCATTCAATAATGGATGTGCCCCATAAACTCATTGGCAGATTATACTATGACATGCATATCAATTGTAATTTGTTGCTTTGGAATTCGGATAAGTGACTTCATGTCAAAAAGGCTGAGAAAGAAAGAAAGATTCTACACACAGGGACACCAGAAGGATGTATCCTCTCACTGACATTATTTACTTTATTCAATATTTATATATTTCAATGTTTGTGGGTTTTATTTTCAATTGGAGAATGAATAAATATTGTGAAATAATTGATTCACAGATAAGCAGAAAAACATGTATAGAACCAAGGCAGCTGACTTTGTCATATGGTATACACACTTGTCACTGATTCTTAATACAAAGACAAAACAAAAGAAAAGAAACGGTATGGATTTTAGGGGAAAAAACTCTAAAAAGTTATCATGCCATTGATACTTAATCAAGATGAAAGATGGGTGGTTTCAGAATACAAATATCTAGGCACTCATATTGACAAGGACTTCAACTGGATTGCTAAGATTCAACTTCTAGTATCTAACTATTCTAAAAAAAACTGCAACAAATATACAATTTGAAAATCAGAGGAGATATTACTTGTTTTCTATATTTCTTATTCTTAATATCTTTGTTTATCAAATATCATACATGATATTTCAGTCAGATACTGCAAATAATAAAATGGTGTTAAACACGCAATAATACATTAATGCATTTATCAGCATGATGTTAAAAGATGTGGCAAGTATTATAAAATTGTAAAATTTCTGGGTAATTGCAATTTCAAAACCAAATTAAAAGAGTAAAGCCACTTAAACGATTTACTTAAACACATAAACAAAACAAAAATATGTTAAGTCAAGTCAATAATGTCAAAATTATAACACAGAAAGGGTGGTTTGCCCTCCAAATCGTCTTCCAAAAGTTTTCACAACAGCTACAGTTGACAATATTGATCATAATACAAGTTGAACTACTGCAAGGGATTCCTTCCACCGCAATAGGGTTTTGTTATTTCATGTACCATTAATTTTCTAGAATTTGTGTACTGATTCCATGATATATCCTTGAAGGGTGGACAAAGGGACTGGACAAGAATCCACGTCTGGATGCTACACAGGAAGAGTATCCAAAGACAGGTTGAGGCTTGTCAATTCATAAAATAACATAAATGGGATTCAAAAACTACTTTCTCTACCTCCACTATCTACTATCTACTAGCTTCACTATCCATCATCAACTCTGCACATCTCTTGTACTTCCAGTGCCTCGACAGGGTTTAACACCATCAACTTTGATTGCGCTACATGCAGAACTACTGTCCAATTTCTCCACAGGGATCCTCTCTCGGTTCTTGGTGCAGGTGCACTCCTCCTTCCTTTTCTTGGTCTTGGTCTTGCCGTCCTCCCCGGAGGCATAGTCCAGGGCTAGCTCTGCACACCTCCTGCAGCAGGTGGTCAAGCCAGAGGTCCTGCAGGAAGGACAGGACAGGACTAGCTGGTGGCAGTGCTTACTGCTGCATGGCTCGTACTCATCCCAAGGCTTTGAGCAGTGGAAGCACTCTGAGGAGAAATGATACAATGTAATCATTTCTTGATCTACGAACAAAATGCACTTTGGACTGCTCTCACATTATAGAAATAAAACTTCAGTCAGTACCTGAAATCAATGTTAATAGTAGGTTTATATAAAGTTTGCATGGACAACAGGGTGTTGTGGCGAGTGCCTGTAATCCAGCTAAATGGAAGTTACAAACTGATTCAGCCGAGGACGCAGATTTGAAACTGAGTCACGTCTTTCGGATGGTGACGTTAAAGGTCGGTACCCAGACGTAAATAATCATCTGATTGATACACGTCTGTAAAAAGCCAATTACACACACATGATTCTTCTTCTTAATATTATTATTCATCATTATTATTACTATTATCATCATCATTATCATTATATTATCATTATTATCATTATGACCATCATTATTTATTATTATTATAATTGCTATAATAATTAATTACTATCAAATGAATGGTACATAGTCTTACCTGCTATGACATCCTGGTTTGTTTGAATAGCATAGCGGTTGTCAAAGACAAACAGCTTGCCTCTAAAGAAGCCATCTGGGTACTGGTCTAGATACCTGTGGATACCCCCCTTTAGCTGTAGCACCTCTTTGCAAATTCCCTGTGTACGGAAGCACAATTCATACTCAATAAGTTAAAATATTAAAGTTTCACCTTAGGAGGTTAGATCAGGACGACTCAATGAGAGATCAAAATGGTCATTTCCGTGAGATCAACTAAAGACTGTATCTCAAAAATAAAACAAGTCCAAATATTGACAATGAAGCTTTAGATATCATTTACATCATAGACACTGAAGTTTCATACTCATATGTCATACTCAAATAATTTTTATGAAGGTAAAAAATTCTTTTTCACCTTTTACTCTTTTGTTCTCACGATCAAATCTGAGAAGCTCTTCACATCGCTTACAATGAAAATCTTTCAGCGATCAAGGTTTGGCAATTTCAAATCAGCAGAGGAGTAAATGGATTATAAATACATTAGTACACAATAGAGAGATACTGACCTTTGACCTGAGGTATGCTGAGCCCCTTTCACATCTGATACCTCCCGTGCAGTACATAAGGACCTTCTTGTCGGCAAACACTGCTTCATTCTTATCTACATACTCAGGCCAGTAGCTGAATTTACGTATGTCTGGTGTGATGGCATCAGGGAAAATACCCTATGGGTAAAGAAATGGAATATTTGAGTTATTTCCTTTCTTCTTTAGGATAAACTGCGACTGTTGTTTAGTTCTTAATATCATTTTAATCGGGAGCGCCAGGAGGGTCAAATCTGACTGACATAAGCGGTATACAAGAATCCACTATTATTATTTATTACTTTACTAAGCCACAAAATTTACTAGACATTCTCAAAATGTTTTTTTTTTTCCACAACCACCCCCACCTTGAGTAAAAAAAAAACTAGATGGAATTTTGACTGCGCGCAGTCGAAAATGATGCCTCCGCAATAGAGCAATTTAAACAAGTTTGGAGTTTAAATCTCCAGTGGTTCTTGAGATATCATGATAACAATCTCAATGTATGGAATTTCATAAGTTGACCTCTGTGACCCTTGACCTTTGACCTACGTGCTCCAAAATCTAATCAGATTGTCTTCCTATGGTGATACACACTATCATTAAGTTTGAAGTTTAAATCTCCAGTGGTTCTTGAGATATTATGATAACAATCTCAATGTATGGAATTTCATAAGTTGACCTCTGTGACCCTTGACCTTTGACCTACGTGCTCCAAAATCTAATCAGATCGTCTTCCTATGGTGATACATACTATCCTTAAGTTTGAAGTTTTTACATCTCCAGTGGTTCTTGAGATATCATGATAACAATCTCAATGTATGGAATTTCATAAGTTGACCTCTATGACCCTTGACCTTTGACCTACCTGCTCCAAAATGTAATCAGATTGTTTTCCTATAGTGATACACACTATCACTAAGTTTGAAGTTTAAATCTCCAGTGGTTCTTGAGATATCATGATAACAATCTCAATGTATGGAATTTCATAAGTTGACCTCTGTGACCCTTGACCTTTGACATACGTGCTCCAAAATCTAATCAGATCGTCTTCCTATGGTGATACATACTATCCTTAAGTTTGAAGTTTAAATCTCAAATGGTTCTTGAGATATCGCGCTAACAAACTCAATACAAGGAATTTCATAAGTTGACCTCTGTGACCTGTGACCTTTGACCTACGTACTCCAAAATCTAATCAGATCGTCTTCCTATGGTGATAAATACTATTCCCAAGTCTTAAGTTTAAATCTTAAATGGTTCTTGAGATATTGTGATAATGGACGGACGTACGGACGTACGGATGGACAACCCGAAAACATGATGCCTCCGGCACCACCTTCGGTGGCGGAGGCATAAAAAAGGGATTCGGGGGGGGGGGGGGGAATGGCATCTAACAACATTCCCTGCCTTTTGAGTAAGAAGATTGGGAAATTAGGGGCAAAATCGGGTAAAAAAAAAAATTGGTAAAAAAAAATCAGGAAACCGATTTAAATCGGGTAATTATCAGGCCTGAATATTCTCAAGTTCATGTCAAGTACTCTTTTTTCGGTCTATGTGAAATATTATACATTTAGCCATTATTAGTATACCACTGAAATTGTGAGGCAGTTTTTGTCACCCATTGCAATGAAGAGGTTAATTTACTGTACATGAAAATGATGGTATGATAAGGAGAAAAAGATGAAAGAATACACTATTGGGTGGTAAAAGAAATCTTGATTTATCAACATTGCCATCATGCTAACCATATATGTATATATCTTATTGACTTCCTACAATATTTGGCCTCTACGCCCTATCCCCTTCTACACCTTTTTTTCACTGATATTACACTTGATTTTTATACTCACAATCCTGCTTTCATAGAAGTTCCTGCAGTCAATGAAGACTGTATTTGTTTTCTCTTCTCTTTCCTTGGCATTTCTGTGCCTCTGAACTTCTTCATGGAACTGGGCTGGTGTAAGGTGACAACCTACAAAGAGAGGACATTAAACCATTCATGAATTACTCCACACATTAAAAGCTCACATATTCACACATATATTTAAGCCCCTATCAGGGATATGCAAGCCCTGAAAAAGTTATCTCCAGCAGCGAGATGAGTTTATGAAAGTATGTGCAAAATTTCAGATAAAAAGACTTTAAATGTTTTTCTCTCTACGAGTGAAAAATTGAAGCCCTCATTTTGTACACAACAAATGAGGTGAATAAAACAATGCCAGTCACAGAGTTCAAATTTGAAGAAGAATATTTTTCCACCAGGAAAGTTTTCACTTATGATTTTTAAAACATTTTGGCCTTTTACAAGTTTTGAGATTTAAAGCTGACAACATGATTTAATATTTTATTTGACTCAGATATTCCTGGTTGTTTCATTGGATAAATAAAAAGTGAGATTTCATATGATAATTGATATGAACCATCAATTTAAAAAAGTTCAGAAAATCATTATTCCTAAATTGTGGGAACAGATCAATTATTCTAATGATTTCTGATATATCCCACAGTTCAATACTTTTGCCCTCTGGGCAATTCCATGAAATATTAACCTAAAATGAAACATTCTCTTGATTGTCTAATTATTCTTCCTCGTATCACTCATGATTGTCAATGGTCAAATCATCATAATTTTTTATCCTTGGATGAAAAAGATACATATAATTGGGTGGTTGTTTGTTTTACCGGACTGCTAAGAAAGCATGTGTAGGCTTGTAAGTAAGCAACCAGGGGACCGACGGCTTTAATTCCTCTACGATTGACTTTGTTTCGAACCTGGGATTTCCCAGTTACCAGACCACTGCTTTACCACTGAGCTATTGCGCCATAAACGGAGCACATATCTCAAGAAATTGCCCCTTTGCTTCGTCTTCCTCCTAAATTTGAAATCTTATACAATTACACAGTGAGAGCTATTTCAGTCTAAGTTTAGAATGGACTATATCCCACCTGCATCTTTGAAGCTGACCAGCATAGGATCCATACCCATAGGAACAATTTCCTGATGAATTGAGACAACAAGACCATCAAGAAAACTGTCATGGCCTCCTTGACTTGTCTGGAAAAAAAAGAGAAGGTAACAAAATGAAATACAGACTATTGTGATTTAGTACATGCATAACAACATCATTGTAGTGGACTTTGTAATCTGAATTGCAATTCATTAGTCCATGGTATCCAAATTAAATTTCTGATCATACATATATATATTTCTTGTAGACATTCTACTATACTGATCAGTGTTAGAGAAAAGGGAGATTTATGGTATGTGGATATTGTTGCTGTGATACTTTTCTGAAAGAAGTGTGTTCTGATGTAAAATGAAATACTTTCATGAGTGCTAGATTTCATTCTTTTAAATTACAATGATTAATGGAGCATCCACAAGCAATAATTGAAAGCAAAAAGCAGAAAATATGGGGGGATTTTTTTTCTCCTAAAGAAAATTTCTGAAGATTAAAAAGAATAAAGACATAAACACTCAATTGTACATAAATGTCTTTTTAGTGAAAAATTACAAATATGTATTGTTTTCAGCCAGGCTGGTTTAACTGATTGCAGTTTCCTCAGATGCACTACATATCTGTTTGACCTTTAATTGCAATCTTGAGGACCATTCATCAATCATATTTATAAGCCACATAGTTTCAAGTTCCAGCACTTCCTTGGTGTCAATTTAAAACAGATCTTGTAAGAAATATGTGTCAATACTACCAGCAAGAACAAAGAATAAATATGGACAAATTTCAATTTAGCACATACTTTCATTATTTATTTATAGCAATCATTGGTTGATTTTATGCAGAATTAAAATCTATCACCTTAAAATCCTCAATGTTCATGTCTGTGAAGTATGGGTGTGTCATCACTGCTTCCATGTACTGCTGAGTGCTGATCAATGCACCACCTACTGTACCATTCAAGCCTTCTCTAGCTATCCTGATCTGAAATATCCAATAGCAACATTGGCAATATAGAAGGAATGATTAGGTCAGTTTTCACAAACAAAAGGTATCTGTTTCACAATCTCACACACAGAGTCACTTCATTTGTATTTTACCCACCCATATTGAAACCTACATAAAGAAAACTAGAGAGACAAAATATATTGTTGTTATACACAGCAGATGGTCTGAATGAATAAGTTAGACAACTTTTGTAAGGTTTCCATGGGAACCAGTTTTCAAGAGAAACAACAAATAAGGCCTTCAGAGATGGGATGTTTTTTCTATACAGGTAGTCACTAAAGCAGGTTTTTACTACATAACAAATAAATATCATCAGTTCAATTATATGAGAAGGTAATACACGAAATAATCTTCACAATCTTGGATATATTTTTGATTAAATTTGATATTTTCAATATGAAATAGTATACCTTTCCATGTAAATGAAGTCTCCTGCACAACTCTCTCTGCCATTCACAAATGTCGGCCGGATCTGCCAAATCAACATATTTGTAGAACAGAAGGACTTGACCCTCTTTTGTTCTGCTTTTCTTGTCACATCTGCTTTCCTCATCCTCAGCATCACACTGGGTTACCATGGGTAACCAGGGTCGCACATCATCCTCAGAATAGGAACAGTGTCTTCTTTTGCTAGTGCTTTCACCTGCACAAACACCTGCTGGATTGACACAACCGTTTGGAGTTTCTCTTGACCCTTGATGCTTATTCTTCTGTCCCTCTCCTGGCTCTGCATTTTCAAGAATATATTTAGAGGTGCTGCAAGCAGTCCTGGCTTTCTTCAGAGCATCCATCGTTTTGCTGTCAATCTCTTCACTATGTTCCAGGGATGTGTGCTTGTGGATATCGATGGCACTCCTGAAACAGTGATTGCAGCATTTCCATTCTGGTGGGTTGCTTGTCAATTGCTTGGCTGCCACAGTCTCAGCAAATACCTTGACGCAATATGAAAGATAATAACAAGAGGATTGATCATTGAAGTTTTTATAACATTTAAATAGATATAGATCTACAAAGTGAATAATGAATTATATATGACTTTATCAATTCGAGGGCTTTTCAAATGTATCCTGTTACAAATTTTGGGTTCCTGAAAAGAAAATGAAATATTCAAAATTTCAAATGCTTTTGCAATATTTCAAAATTATTGCTGAATCGTTCATTTCTGCACTCAAGCTTATACTGTACTTAGTAATCAGTAGGGGCGCTGGTCTGAGAATAAGGGTTATCCTCATGAACCAGGATCGTCTCCGTAAACGCAGACAAATGGTCCTTAAAAATAAGGATCGTCCACATTTTTGCGGACGATTCTTATTTCCAATCCGTGTGTTGGAGATGCAAAAAATGGATTCCGCGATGATGCTCTTTGATACATTTTACATTCACTTTGCGCAGAGACTTTCACGTTTCCAACAATAAATCCTCGGGAAGACGGACAACCCATAAAAATTAAAAGTAGACGGTGAACTGGTGGTATTTTATTAAGCGGAATATGTTTTTCCTGTGCACCTGCAGAGCACCAAGGAAAAAAAACGTCCATGGACGATCCTTATTTTATTTTTTAGGAAGCAATTTATCCGCGTTTACGAGGTTATCCTCGTTTATGTGGACGGTTCTTATACTCGGACCAGCGGCAGCGCCCCTATACAATGTAGTTAGACTAGATCTATAGACTATTAATAGAATATAAAATTAGTCAAAAGAAACAGCGTAAGTACAACATTAATTATCAGAAGGCAATTAAAGCTTCAAAATATAAGGAGCAAAACACTAATAGAAGTATTAGGGCCTACTGTTAAATCTAGTTGTTCAACTTCATAGTTCACTCATCAACTCCAGCTCCAGCTCCATCCACTCACATTCACAATATCAATCATCACAATTCACACATGCAAACTGGTAACATCATCATCACATCACAAATGCAGAGCTAGCTAGAGTTAACAAAATTAAACGGTTTTAACATTTAAAAATCCATTTACTTTATCAAAGAATCTTCAAAATGAGGCCAACCTTCTTTCTAGCTATTTTCCTCATACGAATCGTAACTTTCATGTCCTGGTCCACGTCCATTTCCTTTGTAATCTAGTTTAACTCTTACTACAAATACTAGACTAGATCCATCCATTCATTTGAGGTAGACGTTTTTGAACTATGGAACACTGCACGAAGGAGTACAATTGTGTACTAATTAGAGTCTAAAGTAAGATTTAAATTAATGATACAAATCAATTAAAGCCTTTCATAGCCGGTATGAAATATATAAAATATTCTTATTATCCATCGTTAGCAGCAACAAGATTCAAAACGGTATTTTTTATTTAAAGTATATTTGTTCATTTTAATGTTTACATAAAATAATAGGTGGTCCATACATAATCACATGTACACAATATCGGGGTGAAGCTTTTCTTCACACACCTAATCGGAGATGAAGGTAGCCCATCCAACGTTAACCAATGTGTAAAAATTGCCAATTTGATAAGTGTAAGGATCGCATTGTAAACATACAACCGATATACTACCCACACGCAACGTATGCTTTGTGTATTTTATCCACCAGGCATCAGCGCAACGATGGCTACCAATTTTAACAGGCACGATGGTCTGATATAATGAGAGTGGAGGGTGAAGGGGGGGTGGTAAAATTGCAGAACTAAGGGGCAAAACAAAGAACTATACTAGAACCTCATGTATGTTTGAAATTAAAAAGTTATAATCTTCTTTTGAAATGCAATATATCCCCTCACCATAATTATAAGCAAGTCATGCATGCCTCTTCTCTGGGAATAGGGGCATTGACTCTTTATACAAAAATCACAGAAACCATTCACCATATTATGACACCGTCATGTACTTATTTTCTATGGATATAATTTTTCACGATCTCAACTCTTTACTACATCAGCGCCATGAACATTGTCTGTGGATAAACTTGAATATTAATTCTTCACCACCCTCGCGCCATGTACATTGTCTATGGATAAAGGGTAATATTAATTCTTCACCACCCTACGCTAACTTTTCACCACCCTAGCGCCAAGTACATTGTCTATAGATAAAGGGTAATATTAATTCTTCACCACCCTACGCTAACTTTTCACCACCCTAGCGCCAAGTACATTGTCTATAGATGAAGGGTAATATTAATTCTTCACCACCCTACGCTAACTTTTCACCACCCTAGCGCCAAGTACATTGTCTATAGATAAAGTGGAATATTAATTCTTCACCACCCTTCGCTAACTTTTCACCACCCTAGCGCCATGTACATTGTCTATGTATAAAGTGGAATATTAATTCTTCACCACCCTTCGCTAACTTTTCACCACCCTAGAGCCATGTACATTGTCTATGGATAAAGTGGAATATTAACTCTTCACCACCCTTCGCTAACTTTTCACCACCCTGATAGCGCCATGTACATTGTCTATGGATAAAGTGGAATTTTAACTCTTCACCACCCTAGCGCCATGTACATTGTCTATGTATAAAGTATAGAATATTAATTCTTCACCACCCTTCGCTAACTTTTCACCACCCTAGCGCCATGTACATTGTCTATGGATAAAGTGGAATATTAACTCTTCACCACCCTTCGCTAACTTTTCACCACCTTAGCGCCATGTACATTGTCTATGTATAAAGTAGAATATTAATTCTTCACCACCCTTCGCTAACTTTTCACCACCCTAGCGCCATGTACATTGTCTATGGATAAAGTAGAATATTAATTCTTCACCACCCTTCGCTAACTTTTCACCACCCTAGCGCCATGTACATTGTCTATGGATAAAATGGAATATTAATTCTTCACCACCCTTCGCTAACTTTTCACCACCCTATAGCGCCATGTACATTGTCTATGTATAAAGGTTAATATTAATTCTTCACCACCCTTCGCTAACTTTTCACCACCCTATAGCGCCATGTACATTGTCTATGGATAAAGGTTAATATTAATTCTTCACCACCCTTCGCTAACTTTTCACCACCCTAGCGCCATGTACATTGTCTATGGATAAAGTGGAATATTAACTCTTCACCACCCTTCGCTAACTTTTCACCACCCTAGAGCCATGTACATTGTCTATGGATAAAGTGGAATATTAACTCTTCACCACCCTTCGCTAACTTTTCACCACCCTGATAGCGCCATGTACATTGTCTATGGATAAAGTGGAATTTTAACTCTTCACCACCCTAGCGCCATGTACATTGTCTATGTATAAAGTAGAATATTAATTCTTCACCACCCTTCGCTAACTTTTCACCACCCTATAGCGCCATGTACATTGTCTATGGATAAAGTGGAATATTAATTCTTCACCACCCTTCGCTAACTTTTCACCACCCTAGCGCCATGTACATTGTCTATGTATAAAGGTTAATATTAATTCTTCACCACCCTTCGCTAACTTTTCACCACCCTAGCGCCAAGTACATTGTCTATAGATAAAGGGTAATATTAATTCTTCACCACCCTACGCTAACTTTTCACCACCCTAGCGCCAAGTACATTGTCTATAGATGAAGGGTAATATTAATTCTTCACCACCCTACGCTAACTTTTCACCACCCTAGCGCCAAGTACATTGTCTATAGATAAACTGGAATATTAATTCTTCACCACCCTTCGCTAACTTTTCACCACCCTAGAGCCATGTACATTGTCTATGGATAAAGTGGAATATTAACTCTTCACCACCCTTCGCTAACTTTTCACCACCTTAGCGCCATGTACATTGTCTATGTATAAAGTAGAATATTAATTCTTCACCACCCTTCGCTAACTTTTCACCACCCTAGCGCCATGTACATTGTCTATGGATAAAGTAGAATATTAATTCTTCACCACCCTTCGCTAACTTTTCACCACCCTAGCGCCATGTACATTGTCTATGGATAAAATGGAATATTAATTCTTCACCACCCTTCGCTAACTTTTCACCACCCTATAGCGCCATGTACATTGTCTATGTATAAAGGTTAATATTAATTCTTCACCACCCTTCGCTAACTTTTCACCACCCTATAGCGCCATGTACATTGTCTATGGATAAAGTGGAATATTAATTCTTCACCACCCTTCGCTAACTTTTCACCACCCTAGCGCCATGTACATTGTCTATGTATAAAGGTTAATATTAATTCTTCACCACCCTTCGCTAACTTTTCACCACCCTAGCGCCATGTACATTGTCTATGGATAAAGTGGAATATTAACTCTTCACCACCCTTCGCTAACTTTTCACCACCCTAGCGCCTTGTACATTGTCTATATGGATAAAGTGGAATATTAATTCTTCACCACCCTTCGCTAACTTTTCACCACCCTATAGCGCCATGTACATTGTCTATGGATAAAGTGGAATATTAACTCTTCACCACCTCACGGCAACTATTTAGCCCAAGTGAGAGTCATGTACATACTTTTGGAGAAGTTACGTAAAAACCTGATCTTCACCAAGTCATCGCAGAGCTCAGTATTGTTGTTTTTTTACATTATTTTGATAGCTGGGTCACTGTATGTTCATAATAAGTTCCTATCATGTCTAGTCCCATATCTCTCCAGTTTCAGGTTGCTTGAAGAGTACCAATTCAACTGTATTATCTATTCAAATGAGCGTCCTTTTCCCTTTTGATATTATCCCCTTTTTTACTCCAGTATATCTGTCCTGTATTCAAAACCACTAAGAGCATTTCCTTTTTGAATTTCCTACCAGCGGCTAGCTTGGTATTTTCAGTGGATGAGCGATCACGAGGTGTAAACCCCATAAGATCTGTTCAATAAGCTTTTGTTTTTCCTCGCTTGCTTGCAAATAAATATTCACACCATCAAATCCAACTGCAAAGTATGTTGCTTAAGCCCTATCTCGAAGCATATACAGAGAGAAAAAATGTTGAAATTATCTTTATCTGTAATTATAATCGAAATTTAGGTAAAATACCAATTGATATATAAAAATTGTATGTTTTCGCATTGAGGTTTTCCTGCGTAGGTGCCCCATTTTGTCCAGAAAGTTCCCTTTTATGTTGGTCCCCCCCCCTCCCCAAATGACAACCGGTAGGCGTTGTGGCGTGCGCCTGTAATCCAGCTAACAATGGAAGTTACAAACTGATTCAGCCGAGGACGCAGGTTCGAAACTGAGTCACGTCTTTCGGATGGTGACGTTTAAAGGTCGGTCCCCAGACGTAAATAATCATATCTGATTGATACACGTCTGTAAAAACCCAATACACACACACACACACACACACACACACACACACACACACCCTCCCCCGGCCCCCCTCCCTCATCCCCCGACTCTTGGGAAGATGTTCCCGAACTGCAGCAATGATACGGACCGCACATGAATGTGTAATTTCTTTGCACGCCACATGGCTCCTCGATCGCAAGTACATTGGTGCAAAGGGACAGATGAGTTAAGAGCTATGTGATCATGAGCTGTAAGTTCACAATGCCAATGGATGAAGTCCAAACGCAATCATGGTGAGTTTATCTTTTAGCAGGTGTGTTAATAATGCATTGTTTTGTCATCAGTAAATCAAATACATTTGTCTATTTCATCTGTTATTTCCTACGAAGCGGATGGACCAAACATTTCGCGAGCTACGATTCCGACTTCTCCGGGTACACTGCAAACCTAGAGAGTTTGAAGGCTCTCCTGCAAGATTTCGAATTGGAAACCCATTCCCACTACATCTCTGCCAGGACGAGGGGGACATTTGGCGAACAACCAGGTATTTATTTTATGTTTACGTCAAAATCCCGCAAAAAAGTGTATAAAATGGTTGATCTATGTATTCATTTTTGGTTTCGGAAGCTCCAGTTTACGATTCACTCGCTTGCTGGATCGGTCTACGCGCCCCTTGTTATATAATCGCCCCTGCCACATGGTAGGGAAAAGTGCCAACGTATGCCCGTATGCCCGGCATAATATAAACAATGACAAGATAATAAAAAAATAAACGTTATTTGGTATCTTTTTTATAACCGAAAATTAGCATTCAAATATGTTGGACATTATTTTTTGTTTAGTGTCGTAATGTAAAATTATTTAGTTACAGGAAATGAAAAATGAACCTACTCTGAAGCAATGCTTGTTAGATGTATGTTCGCACACT